AGAAGCAGAAGAGGAGAATGACAGTGACTCAGATGACAGCAGTGATGATGAGAAATAAAACCTTGTTTACAGTGGCTGTCTACTGTGGGGTTTTTCTGGGTTAAAGACGTACCATTGACATTTAAACAAATGATAAATCATGCCTTTTTTTTCCCCCAGGGAAATTACCAGGATGAAGCAGGCCAAGGGGGCTGCTGGGATGTTAGGAGAGGCAGATGACGATGACTTCCAAGTTGTTCCTGTAGAAAGCACCAGTGAGTGATGAGAAATACTTGTATATCAGTTGCTTATCTAGTGATCTTATTCAGATCATCTTGCAGTGAGTGGTCATCCTGTTTTACAAAATAATTTTGATGGTTCATTGTTCTTCTCCTTCTCTTTACTCCATTAAACTCCAGCCTACACATGAGACCAAAACACAACCGTTGACATTAGTGGGGTGCATTTCTAATGAAATTACTGTTCTGGAAAGCACAGAACAGAATTGCCACACATCTCAAGCACATTTCAAACACTCATAGTAAGAACCAAATGAATATATTTACATATGTCAGCCTAAAACAGGGGTACTTGAGTAACAAAGTGGAGAATGAACCTGTCAGCATGTTGTGTGTAACTTTGTGGATGTTTGTGTTGTCTGTGCTTCTCAGGTAAGAAAGCTAGGATCCTGGATGCAGAAGGCCTGGCTCTTGGCTGTCAGATTGCTACATCTAAGAAGAGAGCCAGAGACCTGGTGGACAGCTCCTTCCACAGGTCTGTGAGTGTGTTTGAGTATGTGGTGTGCCTTGCAACATGAACACAATGAGATGAGGTGCTACATGTATAAACAGTGCTGTACAATGTTCACATCTTTATTGATAGATAAATTATTATTTGTATACAGGTTCAGAAATTAGCCTAAAATTTACATGTAGTATGTAGAATTGGAAGAACATCTTTGGAACATGTTTCAGTTATTTTGGCTGGTAAATTTTGCTCTTAGCAGGTGCAGTTGTTTTACAGTAAAATTTAAACTTTTAGGGTAAATTTTAACTGTCCTTTGCAAGTTAATAATTTTGTCCACTGATTTTATCTGTTATTGTCAGCTACAAAACTAGTGTTGGGAATCCACATCCAGTAAAAATACTGTTGAAGTGTGCTTCAACAGAGAAAAGTGGTATTGGTACATCACAAGTGTTACTGAAATACACTGTATATTACTGTGCAGCAAGCTGATTGTACGCTTCTGCAGGTTTGCTAGCTCCGAAGAGCCATGGGAGGTACCTGAGTGGTTCCTGGAGGATGAACGTAAATACCGGAAGAAACCAGTGCCCGTCACCAAGGAGATGGTGGAGGAGTACAAAGAAAAATGGAAAGAGATTGATGCCCGGCCCATCAAACGAGTTGCTGAGGCCAAGGCCAGGAAAAAGAGAAGGGTAAGATAAGAAAAATGGCAATAGTACAACTGTTGATAATAGATCATAGACACCAAAGTTGATTGAAATTATTACAGCTGATACAAAAACACTCAAAACATTTAGTTAAAGGAACATGGAAGTCAGTGAATGGTCACAATATTTTTGTGGATGTTAATTAGTTAATTTCTTTGCAACTTTTCCAGATGCTGAAGAAGATGGAGCAGGCTAAGAAGAAAGCAGAGGCAGTCGTTAACACAGTGGACATCTCTGAGAGGGAGAAAATGGCTCAGCTGAAGAGGTATGGCACCTGAAGGGCTGGAGCTGCACCTCAAAACAGTGGAATGCGATGTGCAGGGCGAACAACAGGCTGCACACTTGGGTCTATGGTCATGGAGTATGTGATTGGGAGTTCCCCAAGTTCGTCAGTGAACAAGTCTTCATATTCTTTGAGGATCTATTCAGTACTGCTCTCCATACTGATCAGGTGGACTCATTGTGATAACCCCCATGTCTAAACATGCACGAAATCCTAACAGCGGTTGGACATCTCGATCCACCAAGAAGAATGAGAGTGTATGACTTTGTCCTTTTAAACAACATTGTAGTGTAACTGAACCTTTTGTTTTAACTCTACTTCCACCATAAGCCACTAGGTTAGGCAAGCTTTCTTGTTTGAGCGGTTGTTCGTTGTTGGCAATTCGCTTGAATGTTGTTTGCGACATTACCTTACACTTTGCCACAGTGTCGACTTTTACCTCAATTGGAATTTTGTTTATGTGCATAGTGACAAATCCCTCTTCCTGCTCTGTCATGAAAGAGTTAACAGTGTCAACGTGTCTGTCAAATTCTATGCCATCAACATAGAAAGTGTCATCATATACAGGGGCCTTGTCCATTTCAAGGTCATGTATTGTCTTTTTGAAGCTTGTGTTCTTAGGACCAGACTGCCAATGTGGTCTGCAACATTTTTTGAAATGATTCATTTTCTTGCAGTTGTGGCACAGCTGTCCAAAAGCCAGGCATTTTTCTTTCTTTGCCAGATGATTGTTTCCACAGTTTTTGCAATTTGTTATGATGGGTGCATCAATTTGTTCCATTTTGGGTTTTTGTCTAGTGCAGTGGTGCCTGCTGGAAACTGGATGTATTGCATCCACATTGGTGGGCATCTGCGGCATCGCCAATGTTTTATTGTTTTCCTCAGTCATTTCGTGTATGCCACATATTGAGATGGCTTTTGTCAGGGTTAAGTTGCTGTCCCTTAACAGTGCTTTCCTTAAGCTTTCACTGTTGATGCCACACACTATCCTGTCACAGATTAACTCATCAGTCAATTCTCCAAAATGGCATGCTTTTGCCTTAATCCTGAGATCACTGATAAATGATTCAATAGTCTCACCTTGTTTCTGGTTTCTGGAGTGAAACTTGTGTCTCTCCATGGTTTTGTTTTGTCGAGGATTGCAAATTTCACGAAACTTTCTTTTCAGGCATTCGGGATCCTCTCTTGATTCTGCGGGAGATAAAACAGCGCCATCCTCACCCGGTGTACGCACCTCCGCTGCATAGATGAACGAACGCTCTCGTTCTATGGCCTCCGGTCCTGCGAAATTGAGGAGGATATAGGCCCTTGTCTTGGCAGGTTTATCGTGTTGCGCCACTGCGATGAAAATGTCATACTCCTGCTCGAAGATTCGCCATTTGTCGGCAACATTCCCTTCGAAAGACAGTGGGTCAGGCCTCTGAAAAGAGTCCGCCATGGTCACCACGCAGTATTGGGAAAACTTTCAATGGCAGTGTGTGCTGTCTACAAAAACGGTGTACTCAGGCGAAAAGTCCGTGACAAAACACGCCTCGACACAGTGGTTCGATACAATTACTTCATGAGCTGACGTGCATGTGTCGGAGGACCATCACTATGGATAGGCGCTTTAGTGTGTTTCTTGACATAACAGCTGACAACTTCTCACCACTTCCTGCAGCAGCATACTTTGTGAACCCTTGTGTAGCTGAAACCCTTCTGGAAAGTTATGACAACGAAGTACAGAATCTTGTCAGAATGGCAGAGGATTACATTGCTCATCTCGTGTCACAAAGAGTGCAAGTACGAGAAGAGCAGTTGACCGATGATGAGCAAGTCGCAAATGAGGGTACAGAGGCTTCAGAGTCAACCCCCGCAAAACGGCATAGATTTTAAGTTCTTCAGTGCTAATCGTCCATCGAGGCCCAAGACAGCCAAGATAACAAACATTAGGCAGGAGATTTTAAAATATAAAGAGAGGCTGTCCGAGTCCCACCAGACTGCTGCTACTAGTGCTGAGGTTGATGAATCCGGCATTGAGCATTGGTTAACTCAATGTTCCACTGCATTTCAAACACTGAAACCTCTGGCCTTGGACCTCCTGGCGATGCCAGCCTCTCAGGCATTTACAGAGAGGGTCTTCAGTGTAACTGGTTACCTCTCTTGTGGCCGCAGGAACAGGGCTAGGACCATTTTGGAAAGAAGTGCTTTCCTCAAAGTATACAAGCCTAAGTAGTAGTTAATGGCTGGCCTGAACAGATATGCAAAAAAGCATGCATATACTGTACAAACACACAAACAGAGCATATTAATAAGCAACCTTTCCCATATCCATGCAAAAAAACTCTGCTGCTCTTAAATTGTTGATTCTGATTTGGTTGTGAAGACTTTATCTGTGCCAGGCACCAGAGAAAAGAAAATTTGATGTCAAAAATATAGCCAAAGAGTAATGTGTACTGGACAGTTTTGTTTTTTTTATTGTTTGTGACAAACGGTCTTAAAATAACACATCCAGGGGGTTACAGTTTATGTAGTTGCTGTTGAGACTGCTGGTTATTTGGTTCAGTAGTTGACATAATTCAGTATTGTTTGTTCTTTTCTGTCAACAAATTCCACTGTATGCAGCCAGTGCTTCCCATCCCATTATATCTCTCTAAGGTCCAAACCATTTGTAGTGTTATATCTTTTAATAATTTTTATGATGCAAAATCTGACTTCAGTTTAGAATCAATACAAGTAACAGACACACACATTTTATTTGCACTTTTTATTATGTTATTGTAGCTCGAGCATTCAAGCACCTTGTTTCTCTTTGGTAAACTTGAATGTATTAATTTTTTTCTGGCATTGTCATGTGATATGTCTATTTTATTTTATTTCAATTTATGTGTGTGTACTTCTAACATGTTTGGTTGGTAAAATAAATGTTGTACATTCAAATCAGAGCATCTTCCGTGTCTGGATTCTAGACTCTGGAATGGATGTATTCTTGAGTCTATAAGGTAACAATAATATAATAAGATAACCTTGTTTGAAATGGGTTTGGCTTAAAGAAACTTTTGGTTTTGTCTATACTACTAGGTGTACTTATACTATATTGACTGGGTTAAATAGAATTGCATTACTAAAAAGAGACAAATACAATTTTCATTGACTAAAACTAGACTAAATGTCATCAGTTTTCGTCAACTAAAACTAGATGAAAATAGTCATGGACAATTCTGATTAAAATAAGACTAAAATGCTCAGACTTTTAGTTGACTGAAACTTGACGACTAAAAAGAGTATGAACGTGACTAAAACTAATAAAAACTAAAATGACAGCTTCACACAAAGACTAGACTAAAACTAAAATTAAAACAGGCTGCCAAAAACAAAAACAACTCTAATAACTTGTCTTATTTTGCAGTTTTCTTCGGGAACTAGAATGATGAAAGCATTTCATAACATCCCATTAAATTTGTGAATGTTCCTAAAGTTTACTACTTTTAAAATTTGTATTAGTTTTGAATATCTGTATGTGTCTGGAAATGGCACAAAGTTGCATTTTAAACATCTTTCTCTGTTTAGGCACTCTCGGTTACCATCACAACCTTCATCACAGAGCCGCTGAAGCATGTTGGCAAAGGGATTAGTGACTTTCTTATAGCCCTCCTCAAAGATCTACCAATTACTCTACAGGTCCCAGTTCTCCTCATTATAGTGATTGCCATTGTGGTAAGGACCTTTTGATAAATTCTCACTGGCACATAAAATCAAACAGTCTTTCTCTATACTGGTATATTTGTTTGACTGTTCTACAGGTATGCATGTATGGAAGTGTGCAAGCAGCCTTCCAGCATGGCATCACTGCACCTCTGCGCTGCCGAAGGGATCCACCTCCTCCAGAGCTGAAGCATTCTAGCTCAATTTAAAGCTGTTCAAACAAAATTCTGCTTCAGTAATTAGATAGAAAACAGGGTGTTAACATTGTAACAAACCTGTTCCTTTTTCTCCCCAGCCAAATGACTCCTTATCAGGTTCATCAGAGGTGGGCCAACGGGCTGAGGGAAGAGCCAGCTCCGGTGGTTGTAGAGACTCTTCGAACTGCCGACCCTGCCTACAGTGAGGATGAGATAGATGCTGTTAGGCGTGAGGTGGAGCAGAATCCCTCTGCTGAGTCTGATTCAGAAAACCAGCAGGAAATACTAGAGGAGCTAGCAGGAGTGAGTGCTGGCAGAGTTGAGGCTAACGTGGCCCAAGCACAAAATAAACCCTCCAAACTAAATTTAAATCAGTCAGAGGCTGAACCTGTGACAGTGAATGCGAACTGTTCTCAAGGTGAACCCAGCAGAGACGATGCAGTACTTAGACCTCAGGTATAATGTCTGTGCCAACTTGAGTACATGGTGTCATGGTTTGGCCAGTCCAGTGTTATTCTTAACAGAATGGGCCAGCCAGTAAAGGACCCAGCGGAAGCCTTTTTCACGACTGTGCCTGGTTAGTGGCTATTCCTGAGACACAACAGCTGGTGGCCTGGTTGATCACATTAGAGGACAGGTGAGACAGGACTGGGCACTCAGTAAATTTGGGTTATGTCATTCTCAGCTTTATGAGACCAACCTGAGTTCAGAGGAGGCCCAATCAATCAGATCCAAGCACAGGGCTCAGATGGAGCATCCCCTCCTGCAAGTTGTCCTTCTGATGTTTCTCAAACATCTGAGTTGCAGTGATAGTGGCATTACTCATTCGGCAGAACTTTTAGTACACTGGAATTGTTTGCACTTTATTTTAAAAATTAAAA